CCCCTTACCAGCAGCCCAAATGCTCACGACGATGAGCTGGGCTGTCACCGCTTGGCCGCCGGTGGGGGGTTTGGGAGGCCGCATCGCACACAAACACCCACACACTCCCTCAACTTCCACGAACACACACATACGCAGACTCGTTTCCACACGGACATAGACACACGCACAGAAACCCACACACTACCTCAACTCACTCGACTTAACACTTCTCACTACACACTTACCGGATAACTCGCACTCTGATTTCCTACGTGATGAAAAATGCTTTCGGGCCACTCGTCGTCTAGTTTTTTAAATACCAGTAACACTAATCTAACTTCATGCAGGTTGAGAGGACCAACAAGGGTTCACCCAGAGATTTTGGTGGACAGTGGGTGTTCCCCCAACTTCTCCTGAGTTTGGTAATGTTGTGCCTCTGTGTCCGCACATTGCTGTACCAGGGAGAAGTTGTGGCAGTACGCTTGCCCAGTGACTTAGAGAACTCACCGGAGAAGTACATCCATTCCCAGGGATGAGTGTTGTGTTTGACGCGGGCAGCCAAAAGACTTTGGCCGCCTTTGTGTGCTGGTTGGGGTTGATTGCTTTGAGCTACCAGTTCGACGAAGCTGATTTTGGGCACCTGGTGTTGTCACCTTGTTGAACTCCTTGCTCAGCATACCCTGCATTCACAAGAAGCCTCACGCTGATAGTTTGGATGGAATGATCAGCCGAGTTGTCAAGCAGAACTTGGACGCCAAGGTCCAACCCATTAGCCGCTTTCAATGGGCAGTGTTGCTGTCATCATTGACATCCCAGTCGAACTCAGCTGACTAGGTGCCTGTTACTTTGGATGAGGCCATATCCAGATACAATCAACACCCTGAAGTACAGGCACAAGGAGGCAAAATGACCGTTTCTGGGCGAAATTACATGCAAAATTGCCAGCGGTTCACCCCAGGGCAGGGTTCAGGACCTGTGGCAGGTGAGGAGGCAGATCCACGGGGTGGTGAGGAGCCAACAGGAGGTGATGAGAAAGCTTGGCCAAGCTGTTCAGCTGGAGAGCTTGGCCAAGCTTGAGAATGTGCAGGAAAATGTGTCCTCAGAGGTCCCTGACATTCAGATCTATCGCACTGAGAACAAGATCTTTCTTGTGGCCAAAAAGGACAAGAATTGCCCGAAGAATACACAGATTGGCGGCTTTGGCACAGGTGCCTATGTGTCAACCAGTGATGAGTCGTCAGGTGTGAAATGGAATGTGGACTCGGATAAAGTCCTGGTCCAAATAGATGATTCCACCATTCGGTCAGACGCTTCTTCAATCAGCACTATGACTCTATACAAACTGCTCATCGTGCTTGAGAAGACAAAACGCTCTACTGAACACAAGCTTTCATACATCGATGTGGCCCGGAAAAGCCAAACCGAACATGAGCTGGACAGCTTCGAAGTGAAAGTCCGGACCCACATGAAATACAAGCTGGTGCGAAATCCTTGAGGTAAGGAGGAGAAGCCCTCTGCGAATGATTTGTTCGGTCGGTGCATTGATCTTGAGGAAAACTCTCCACACCTCAAGGTGGTATTCCGGTGGCGGTACGAGAAAGTCGGAGGAAATCTAAAGGTGCAAAAACCGTATGTGATCTTGGGCCATGGTCTGCAGTTGATCAAAGACAAGCCTGTTCAGGCCAGCTTTTGCAGTGGGAGCTGCATATCAACGGTTCTGTGTGGTGTTTTTTCTTTGAGGTCTGTTCGCTTGCAGGCAGCCAGTCAGAAACAATGAGCCTAGCTGGGCAGCCATATGCCTCGCAAGCTGCATTCCCTATTCTGTCTTTGTTGAACCAACTTCTACTCACAGCTGAAATTTTAAAAAGGATTGAAGCACACAATGTTGTGTAGAATTGCTTCTGAATTTACCCAACTCAAGCCATAGCCCGATTGGTTCCCTACAGTAGAGTCTGGAAGGTTTAAAGCCCTTCCAGCCAATCTAAACAACTTACTTCGGAGTGTTGCTGTGTAATGTGCAATCCACAACCAGCCCAGCCCATGGTTCCACAACCAGGTGGCCTGATTTGGTGCAAAGAAACCGGCTTCTGCTATGAAGGATGCTGGCCGGAGGCGCACCGCAACCTCCAGGTGTGCTGCTCTGTGCTGAGTGGAGGGCCAGAATTTTTGGGTAGAGTGTAGGGATTTGAGAGGAACAGGGTGAAGGGAGGGGCCCAACTCAGAAGCCAGGAATCAACATACCTCTAGCTGTAGCTTTTCATGAGTCCAGTAAACCGGACAAGCGTTCATGCTTTTGTTCTTCATTGCCCCTCTCCCTAATGAACCTGGCACAAAACACAGGTTAATGCAGCACGAACTTGGCACTGAGGGTGTCTGGACTATGCGCTAAGATGGAAGTGCGGCTACCGACTTATTATTTCAAGAATTGACTCTGATAGGAAGACAAGTAGTTGCCACAAGTATGCCTGAGATCCAAGGTTGTATACAGCTATTGTATTTCCTGTACCTGTTTCGGCTAAAGGCAAGCACCTTTAGCTTTCCAGACTGTGGAAGTGTGCCTTGAGGCAGTGAATGCCACAGCAAGCCTGAGGTCCTGAGAACTGATTTTGCGGCCGATCTTGAACTCTTTTCGGGCTCAGTTGGGCCCACTGAAACCATTGTAGATTGGATACACACTCGAGATGTGTGAACGACGGATACACATCGATGTTAGCTTTGGGATGGAATCTGACCCCAGGAATGATAACTATACCATACTATGCCCCTATTCTTGGGCAGTAGTTCCCTTCTTCAACACCTCTCTACCTGTTAGCTTTATGGCTCATCACATACGAGCTTTTGAGTAAGGGACGCTGGGGAAAAGGAATTCCACCTGTTAACCCTGGCTACCTGTCAGCAAAGTACTTCTACTTACGATATAGTTCTGAACCCCCTGACAGCTCAGTTATGAAATATTGGTTTCATTATGAATATGATGATATGTGTGTCAAGTTTCTGCTGCTGCAACTCATCCTGCAAATCATCAGCCTGTCGCGCGTCCTACATTCAAGGGATAGACTAGACGCCATCACTGGTTTTGAAATAGGCCAGCCATGTATGATTCCCTGCTGGCCAAAGACCCCTCTGCTTTGAATGTCGCAGAAAGGATTCGAGAGACTTTGACAGTTCGTATGGAGCAACGGCGAGCCCAAGCTCAAAGCCCCAAATCACCAGAAGTCCAGAAGCCGGTCAGCACTCCCCCAGGCCAGTCCTGCGAGTCCGGAGATTTAGCTGGAGGACCTGATGCGGAAGAACGAGAGGCTAAGGGTACACCAGTCTTGAATCAGTCTGACGCTGAAGAGCCCAAAGATCCGAGAGCTCTGAAGCGACCAAGCTCTGCTCTCCAGCATGGTCGGGGTGTTGGCCGGGGCGGGGGCCGCGGCAAGACTGCTGAGGTAGCTAAAGAGGAAGCAACACCACAGCAGCCAACAGCAAAAGAAACAATGGTGAAGGAAAAGACAAACAAACGAAAGCCAGGAAACTCAGCCGCAAAGCTGAGGAAGCGGCTGTGGAGTGAAGCAAGCCAGCTTCGCTGAGTGAAGCAAGCCAGCGCACAACATCCAACGGTTGTAACGTGTGGTGTTGGCATGAATCTTAAATAAGAATAGACCCTTTGGGCCCTGTTTTGTTTCTACATATTTACAACATATAGTACGTCATAGTAGGTCATAGTAGCTAAGTCGACCAGCATCGTCTATCATTGTCCCTGAGGTGGTGAAGAAGCAACAAAAACACAAGTGGTGCACCCTTGTTTGAGTACATCGGCCCAGATGGTCAGAAATACTATGTCAAGAAGACCGCTACTGAGAATGGCTTTGAAGACTAGTAGGCCAACTGTCACGTTTCAATGCCAACAGGACCGCTCCCAGGCGCGTGTAACAAGATTAAGCTGCCGACGTCTCTGCGGCAGCTTCTGCAGCGCAACGGTCGGCAGCCGCTGCAAGAGTAGGGGTGAAAGGGAGGAGTGAGGAGTAAGTGTAGCGTGTGGTAGCCAAGTTTTGAGCAGGTTATTTTTATCTCACACCAACAGCGGTAGTGGCCTGAGACAAAGCCACCCTGTCGTGACCATATTTGACTGAGTGTGTGAGTGGCTGACTTTGCCGACGTTGTGGCCTATAATCATACTCACCATCGAACCCTCTAACCTACCCGCCATGTTTCCTGAAACAAGCAAGTTACATTGAAACCCTTTTTTTGAAGAGTGCACACTTCCTGGAATCATCATGGGCCAACGCAGATGGCGCCCCTTGCATGACCATCCATCCGAATGCCCAAACCTGCCGGTGGTGAACCACTCCTCCACTGTCTCCACTGAGTCCTGGACCTGTTTCGCCATCGTGGGTCTTGCCACAACCGACGGGATCCCGGTGGAACAAACGAGTAACCCTCTTGGGCCCAAACGGCGGACCCAAACCGCGTGTCGACGACGACGCGGCCTGTGCACAAAAACTGGAGCATACCTGGCCCTTCCTGTCGGCGTGTCCGGAGATCCTAGGGTGAATTTATGTATACAAAGGCTTCCAGCATCTTCCAGCCAGGTGATTTCGAACAGAAGGTGCTGGGACTTACGAGATTCCGGTCAGGAATGTTGCACGAGATTCCTCACAACCCGTGGCCGTGGCCTGTGCGGATGCAAAACACTGGTGTGATCCAACTGAACTTGGTTCAAACATATTTAACCCTCGTCATTCATAAGTCCAACTGCCACAGAGTCTTTACTTTGTTCCTTTCAAGCTCCACATACGATTAAGCTCCACTTCAGGCGACTGAACCAACAACCGACCTGCCCCATGACCTTCCGCAACACCAACCACAACCAAGTCATCGCTGGAGGCTGGTTATGTCAAATGTCGGACACAAACATGTTGGACGCTGAAGGTTTTCATCGTCAAACCTGGAAAAACTCAAATAAACAAACTCCAAACCCGAGCAAACTCCACAAATTGTAACTACGGCAAACTGTGCACAGAAGCTGCCTTCATCATCACTAGAGAAGAAAACAAAACAGGTGTGGAGGAGAATGAGTTTGGGGCAGCAACGTCATCGCGAAGCCAGGCAGTTCAAGTCGGATTTCCAAGAACATCAGTCTCTCACCCCCAGCGAGGCCAGGATTCCAACTCCACGTGGATCACATGTGCTCCGGAGACTCGGAGAACTCCACTTCTGTAATGATTCCAGCTGAGTGTGTACCCTATACCATTCGGACACGGGGTCTCGGGAAGTGGCCCCGACACGCACCTTGAGGTAGGCCGCGGCCAATTCGCAGACTTTGGCCTCTCGTTTACTCTCAAACTTCAGGAGCTTCACCTCCGCGAGAGACTTGAAACCCCGACCCATGGCCCGGCCAGTGGCTAACGGCTAACGTCACTTCTGGTTGTTTGGTCGGTGATTCAACGGGAGCACACCGAGTGACTGCTAGATTCGATGCTAACACCGAACTCAGCCATTCAGAACCACCTTCATCTCCACCTTCACCACCTTCATTGCCACACTCGGTGCGGTGCGGACTCCGACGTTCGGTTCGTGCGGTGTCAGAGCGACTGGGCGCTCTGACCAGTCCAGTGAAGGACTTCTGCACGTGACCTTGGCCGCGATCCCCGGGGTCGGAAGAGGCAGAAAGGCGGCCCTCCGGCGGAACACAGGCCGCGGCGCCCTGCGAATTGGGGAGCGAACGGCTTTTAGCATTCAGCACGGCCACCAGCAACATGAGTTTGGTCGGGGTTCCGAGAAAAACACAAGGTTGGCGTCCATGTCCTCATCAGGGCACGTTTAGCGAGCCAAGGCAAGAGCACACAATTGCTGAATGAATAGAAGCAATAGAACCTGGGTGACGTAAAACAATTCACAAAGCAACATTTCAAGAACAACTTGTTCCTATTCCACCCCGTTGTAGACCACTTCACCGCTTGAACGTCCAGCTTTGGCCGAGGAACCAACCTGTCTTCCTCACTGAGAGCCATGCCATGCCACAAAACCATGTGAAGGTGGATGCATCATAAGCACAAATGCTCTCCTGGATCTATTCAGCCAAACCTTGAACTCATTGAGGCCCTCAAGGGTGCTACAATATACCAGTATACAACCATCCTAGAATAATCTATTGACATATCTAAATATAAGATATATACCGACTGTATAGTTCATAATGTCCAATTATATATGACCGCCTCGTCCCTTTCCAAACCGGGGCATCCGAGCTGTCCAGGGCCTCTCTCACGGAACCAGCTGAGCCTGGAAACGGAGCCAGCCTCTCGGGAGGAGAGGCTCCGTCTCCCAGTGTGCATTCAGAAGAAACAAGAAGCAACAACATGCGCAAACTTGTTCATGAAGACTTACATTTTTGTGCATGACTTGCAGAATGAACAGCCCCCCCACAAAAAAAGAACATGTTGCGAATTATTGTTGTTCGTCACTTGGGGTCATCAAGGACAGCTGAAGCAATCATTGGGCCCAGAATGGAGGTAAAACACTTCCCAGCACTGCAAGCACTCAGTCATGTTCACCACCGAGGCCTCCTGAAGCTACCTCCAGACCATCTGAGTCTTCTGCCGGCAGCGTGGTGCTTGCGGGAAGCCTGGCAAGGACTCTTGATGTCCCCTTCAGGCCACCCGAATGCCCATGGGTGGAGCCGGTTTTGGGTCATCCTGTCCTGCTGCGGAGCCTGTTCCCCTCCGCCCCGGAGCTATTGAAACCGACCCCGCAGGCACCCCAACCTCTCTGAACAAGCATATGTGCCGGATCTCCCCATGTCTGATATCACGAACCTGGTTGAACTCCGGATGTGCCATGAGTCCCTAACTGAGGACTTTAGCCATGGAATGCTCCCACATGGAAGGCCAAGTCAACCAATTCTCCTGGCTCCCTGGAGCGACTTGCTTCACACCCCGAAGCGAGGTTCGTTGGTTGAGCGCACCTGCAAAGACCAGTGTGGCGCCGTTCCAGCAGCACGGAGAGGAAACTCAAAACGAGATCTACCTTGACCTCGCAGGAGAGAGGGCCGTGCCAAAAGATTCTAGAGGTTAAAGACCCCTACAGCGGAATCCTGTGTGTTCTACAGCACAGTGCTCTTTCTACGACACTCTTATAGATCGTTTTAGTATCCCTATCATCTTCTTGAAGGGGGGTCCTCCAGAAAATGAAAGTTACATTTGTGGCTGCCAACCACCTGCAAAATGTAAGCAAACATTTAGTCGAAACATATCATTATAGATTCAAACGTATGCGAAACCTTACATTTCTGAGGGCCCCCCCCCAAATGGCAGGGGATGTTGGAACACGTAAGTTACATGTTCTTAAAAATGTAAACTACATTTTTAGGAAAACGCTCCTCCCCTGTAAGGTTTCATCTATCTCTCTCCCCTAGTTTTCTGGAGTTCCTCTCTGGGATTCCTATACATAGTGAGGAATAACCGAAGGCCACTGACTGACAAAACACAAATAACAAGGGGGGGCATTTAGGATTTGAGTGAGTTTAGGGTCCTCCAATTGTCCGACACCCCCACCCCCTATCTTAAATATAAGTTACATTTCCTAGAGGACCCCCGCAATTGCAAAGCCGCAAAGGGGTAGGGATGTTTTTGTGACTGTGATGTCTTGAAGAGAAAGGCTGGCGCGATCTGGTGGGGGGTTGACCCATCGCGGACCCGATGGCGAAGTGACAAACCCTCAATTCCGCCACTCGAAGAATGAATTGATAACTGAAAACTGACCAAGAACCTCCAAACACAAGGATTCCAATCCATGTTTTATCCATTATCCATACAGTATGTTCGTTTTTTTCCCAAACTGGAACTTTAAGACTCATCCACCAACAAACTCCGTGTGGAGAAAACTTTTTTCCAGAACTCATCCACCTCATCCGTCATTCACCGCGATGCATTGCGCGACGTTTCGTTCACGACGCACGCTCTGCGCGCGTCAAGACCCGGCCTTCTCCGGGAGCTCGATGATCCGCTTCAAGTCCATGGCCTCCTGGGGGAAGCATCGCTTCGGACCGGAGCGGCTGGTGGGCTTGGATTGGAGTGGCTGGTGGGCTGAACATGCTAGATGTTTTGGTGCTATCTTGTTGTTACCCAGTACCAGCAAACCCTGTTCGACGGCCACCAAGGGTCGGTATATCCTGGGTTGTATCATTTCCGCGGATAGACGGGATAGACCTTACATTAACGAAAACAGGTACCAACTACAATTCAGAGACATGAGATTCAAAGAAGGCTGCCGGCGAACAAGGCAGCCAGGCTACTCCAAGATTTGGTGGCGTTTTTCAAAAGGACGAGGTTGGTGAGGTTGGTGGTTGGATCATGTGCTACTCCCAGGTCACTCACGGGGACCCAAAGTTTGTTCGTCCACATCCAGTTGGAGATGCCGCAGTGAACTTCCGGACGGATGCAATCCAATTTGCAATCCGGTCGTACCTTCTCAGAAGGTGATTATAGAGAGAGACTGCGCCACGGATTGCTAGGAGTTCCACTGCCAAAAAACAAACACATTCAGTGCCGACCACTAAGACCTAAAACCTCGTGGATGAGGTCCTGGACCGGTCCACCTCCCAATTCAACTAACCCATGGAGCCTGTGGTTTTGGCACCGCCCTGAAATACTCTGTTCAACTCTACAAAACCGAGTGATTTTCAGGGTCCGGAGCTGTGAGTTTTTCAGATGCCTCACATAGTCTTAACTAAGCCTCCGGACTGGGGGGTGGCAGCTGGACATCTTGTCATCTCGCCATGCGCTGCTAATTGATTGATGATATTCCATATTGAACATGCGTTCCATGAACTTAATTGGCGAGCCCAAGTGGACGACCTTTGCTCTCCAACCCGGCCCTGCGGCCATGATTTTTTCCATCACGGAAAACTTGTGCTACAGCGGCTACTACAGCGGGTTCTCTTTTTTCTCCGCGTGCTTATTCAGCACAGTGCTGGAAACAACCACATTGGCGGGACGCAGCAACAAATCCTCGGACTTCCGCCGCGCACGCTGTGCACAGGCTTGACTCACACTCGTCACTCATCCTTCTTGACCGCCGGGCCGAAGTAATCCTCCAGCACATCCGATTTGGGAACATGATGGAACAGGCTCTGGCTGGGAGAATAAGCTCATTTAGGAGTATTTAGGAGTATTCCGGCACGAGGGGAAAACGTCTCAACGGTCAAAATGATCTTAAGCAATCCCGAGGTCAAAGGTTCCATATTTCTTGATTCTTCTCCTCTGTCCTCTTCCCTCCCCTGCCTCGGTGTTCCAGTACAGGAACATCAAGCCGGACATGGTGGCTTTCAAGCTCACATCGGAGACGGTATAGAAGCGCTGCACAGCATAGGATCCTGTATAGCTCCAACACCCCATGAGCCACACACAGGTATACATCACAAAGATGCATTCCTCGCGGCCGGGTCCGTACGTCCCCCGTTCGTGGCGTTCCCCGTTCGCGGTTGGGGTGGGGGGTTGGACATCCGGGGCAGCCGGGCGAATTTTTGGGAACACCTGGAGATTGCTGTGGGACCGTGGGGTTCCCAACGTGCAACGGATGGCTCGTCCGTTCGTTTGCGTCCTCGTGCACCCTCCCGGGAGAACGGAAAAACGACGCCCCGAAGCGTTGAAGAACGACGCCCTTGGCGCAGTGATCGGCGCGGCGGCTTCGTCACGGCCGGAGTCGCGCGGGGTCGGAAGATCGGATTCGGTTCGCTGTCCTTCACGATGATACTGTAGCCTTTGAGGATTGGCTGCTTGGTGGAGAGCATGTGTTCAGCCACTAAAACTGCCTCATCCACAATCACTACAACGTAGCCCACGCACCCCAGGATGTTCAAGAACCATCCGAACCTGGATTCGGTCCGAGAAATCCGAAACTTGGATTCGGTCTGGATCATCACCCTCCAAGTGGAGGTTCCTCATCTCGGAGTTGTTTCTTAAACACTCGGCCGCTGTGTTTCTGTATGCAATTTGTTCAAACCAAGCGCGGCACTCATCGTACTGAACAACTAGAGGTGCTTAGCTCATCCTACATTGTGCAGGAATATGCAAGATCACTTGGCCCCAACCATCCCCGCGTCAAACACATGAGAAGTCCAAAAAGACTTCGGACAAAGCACTCTCCGGAGACCACTATCTGCAAACCGATCTGCAAAGGATCTGGGGATCAGGGAGGGATCGATCACCGTTCTGGCCGAATCAAAGGCTATAGACCCCCTATGCGGTTCTACATTGGAAGAAAAAAGTCATCCAGTATGCATGTAGATAAAACGTGCATCGTACATGTCTCACATGTCCCAAGAAGTCAGCAACTCTGTCAAATTTGGACACCCAAGGCACCAAGGATCATAGATGATGCAACCTAAGTAGCACGTCCAACAGTAGGCAGCAGAGCAGGCCTGCTGTGGGAAGATCCTCTTCACCACTGCTGAGGCAGGGTAGTCCTCCATGATGGGATAGAGATTCCTGGCCGCCCCCGTGGGACGGACCGTTCTCACACCGAGGATTCCTGGCTCCCAAATGGCTCCAAGATATGACAGGTCATAAGATAGAAAGCTAGGATTCATGACCATCATATATAATATCTGGGATTATGACCTGCGGATCCTGCGGATTCAGATGGTCATCAGATGGGTGATCTGCGGATTCACCCACCGGGAGAACGCCTCGCACGCACCACGCTTGGGGCCTAAGACAGAGGTCCGGGAATGCCTTTTGGTCCATGTTCCTTCCACCCAGGACGTAATTGGGAGGTCTCCCTATTCCAATACACACCCCCACGTATAGGAATGCAAAGATACAACTCATGTCAAAGACTTGATTGAACAGTTCACCCTTTCACCAGTCTAATCGTCCATAACTGCTGAGCAGTTGTCCTGGAGGAATGGATTTCATCACCCCCACGCCAATGAATTGCAAAAAAGAACAAATTTGACCAAGAGTCATAAAAAGCAAGGTGGGAATGGCGAAGAACCAGCCCATCCACCGCGTGGCATAGATGGGTCGGTAGTCAAAGCTCCTTTGATTTTGAAATGCCAGGCCATAGCCTCAACCACGGCGAAGCGGCAACACGAGGCCTGACACTCCATGCGAACCAATCCCAAACACTCCATGGGACTGCCATATATGCCTACATTGACCCCCCCAAAACCACCCCAACTGATCGGCATCTATGGCATGCTCGGCAGGCGTAGCGGCGTAGCGTTCTTGGTTGCGTTCGTGTTCCTTCAAAGCCCCGCCACCGATCGCCTGTCCCCGAAAGGCTATCACGATCCGTGCGCCTTCGGACAGCAAAGTGTAATACGTGATCTTCACCTCGGAACAACGGCTGGACCAGTTGGTCGGTCGAAACTCGGCCGGTGAGTTCGGTCAGGAGAGGTCTGCCACCGGTGTTCCACAAAGCCCGTCGGTCGCGACATGAAGAAGTCACCGGGGAATAGAAACACTCCAGCTGGACATCGACCTTTGAAGGGGTCGCACAACATGGTGATCGTGGAAAACGCTGCCTCAACTGTGATCCAAAGCCGGTCAACGCTCTGATCCGTCCGCCCCATGGATCAAACAAATAGCTCACTTGATCCAACCCACTTGACACAAGGCATACCTTGGCAGGCCCCCATCACAGGCCCCCATGACACACCCAGCAACTCATGTTCAAGAGGTTGGTGCTTTCCCTCGCCTGTTTCTCATCCACCCAACGTGTCCTCTTCTTAAGTTGCCTCCATATATCCGAGTTAAAGGTTTCCGCTAAATTGTGTTCTTCTTCTTTTACAATTTGCTTCCACATTCAAGCAATAGTAATGGTGTTCCTATTCTTTTAGCATTCTTTTCACCTCCACCGTTGGTGGCGGAAACCGCTGTTCTTCCTCTTCCTTCACCGCTTCAGGTCTCCGCACTCCAGTCACGAACCAGTTGGTGAGGCTTAAGGCCCGCCCGTTGGCGTTGAGGCAAACTTCATTCTGCAAGGTTTGCTAGGATCGCTTGGCCAAACAGCCTGTGAACTCGCTCCACTTCTCAAAAAAAAAAAAACGTATACAGCATCGTACAGCATGACACTATACTTCCACTCTGTCCATGTTAGCGGGCGAGCCGTTCGGAGCCGTTCGTGGAGTCCTGCAGAACCGGATCAGGGTGATCGGATGTGGGTGATCGGGCGTCCTGGCCTCATGCTTTAAGGTTTCTGGCCTCATGGCCAGAAAAGAAGTGAACAATCCTATTCCCTGTCGTGTTTGGTGAGTCGCCTATGGCGAAAAAGAGTCACTGTCAGATTTTTGTGGCTGTGTCATAAAAAGTGTGGAAGAAAAAGTCATCGACATCTATTGATCAACTCGACACCTGCTTGTTTTGTAACAATCCCCCGTGAACGAAGTATGGCCCCCGCGTATTTTAGAAAGGCACCCATCAGTGTGTGTGACGTGAACATCCCAGCGTCCGCCACCGTCCGCCATCACACCACCCCGGCTCGGACCACTTCGACCCGGCTCGTGAGGTGCGAAGCCGGCGGCCCAGTCGCTGAAAATTCCCACATCGACACGAAAGAGATCACCAGCGCCCCGTGCCGTGCGCGGGGCCGGCAACGCTCGCGGAGGTGAAGGAGGGTGATGAAGATCAAGGGGATGATCAACACCTTGTGCGAGCGGAGCGTTGAAACCAAAAGGGAAAGTGGAACAACATGTGGAATGTGGTTACAGCTCGTTTATTACAAATAAATTTGAGCCATACACTCACACTCTTTTCTCATTCAAGTGGACCCGCCGTGGTCATCCACACGCTTTGCCCCGTCACAAGCCTCTTGTTGCAGTAGTAGTCGAGTGAAGGTCTAGAGTCTAGATTTTCAACACACGAACGTACATCGGTTGTTCTTGACTTATAGGCTTCATGACTACAATTCCCGGTTTGTCACCGTGGGTCTCTCTTCCAGCCCACTTTCCTTTTTTTTAAGGGGTCCTGGTCAGCTTCCATCCCAGACACTCCATGTATGCCATATTAGGGTGGTTTTGGGGGTCAATGTAGGCATATATGGCAGTCCCATGGGTCGTGTCTGGGCATGTTTGTTGGGAGGGTCATCGAACACCACGAACAAACCCGACGTGGCTTCGCCACCTGGAGAGGAACAACGAACCAGTTCGATTCGAGAGTAGCTTCAGCACAGGTCACACGCAGCAGGCGAACTGTTTGCTTGATGTTTCAGGTGCAATTTGAAGCATTTGGGTGATATCCGATCTCAAAGTTCAAAAGGCCAGTGCCACCACGGGCACACATTTAAACTACTTGAAAGCCGACCCAGTTCCTTCAAGAGGTCGCTGTAGTTGTTCCAAACAAAAGCTGATCAACAATGTCCCAGCTGAATCCTCGCATTCGCCCGGGCAGTTGGACAAACCCCAGTTTGAACGAGAAATGATCAGCTTCCGTTCTTTTTGGGCGGGGACCGTTGTTGAATAGGGGGACGTCCCCTGGCCTTGTTGGGGGGTTCCATGCAAGTTCTGAAGGAAGTCGCCTTCCAGGCACTCCAACAGCCTTCCAGTCTAACACACGAACACCACAAAGAAATTGGCAGCCACCCCTGAGCTTCATAGAGGCCGCCTGGCCCGGACGGGTCACAATTTTGTTGGACTAGTAGCGGCGATGGCCGCTAAAGAAAGCGCCATGGCGCTTGTTGCTGCTTCTACCCAAGGTTTTGGCAACCAAAAGGCTTCCTGCCAACGACTGGTCCGGCGCATCGAAGAGTCGATCGCGTCCGTAAGAACGACAGTCCAAGCGACATAGCGGGCGACAGTGAAGAGTTCAATCTCATCCACATTCACTGTCTTGTAGAGTGGCCCTACCTCGAAGCAAAGGTGCCTCAGGTCCAACAGCTCTTCCAACAACCCACAAAAAGTGCCCAGGCACGTGGATGGAAGCGCCTGGGAAGGGGGTCACTGTACTTGGTTGCCCTGACATAGGTCTATGATGGTCTATACAAAAGCCGTTGCCATAGACAGCTCATCCATCCGGGCTCTGCTTCAGCTCTGCGAAACGCCACAATCGGACGGACGACCCCGACATGCGGGGTAGGTCGTCAATGGGATGGGATGAATGACATGCATCCGGAGCGAGGTGATTCCAGACAGGAAATCCAGTGGAAGAAACGTGCTGTTTACTCTCCCTAGCTGGAATTTAACATGGTTACATGGAGCTCACCACCTGTTTGTAGTGGAAAATGGTCTTCCTTTCGGGGCCATGCCATCCACGTAACCATGTGGTCGTTCCAGGGAGTGTAACCTGTTCACTCAAAAGAAAGCTCTTCGCTACCCCCACCACGGCCTACAGCCAAGTCCACCGAGGGCAGGACCAGATCTGAGTCCAGTCGTCCGATGTCACATCGCCTTCAGGCTAAGGCATCCCCCCGAGATCCTCAAATGCTGGAATCCAGTGAATCCAGTAGATGCCAAGTGAATCAATATTGATCGTTTGGGATAGTTTGGTATCCACTCCAGATTCTGCGAAGCAATCAACATGTTGTTCCATTGTGAGACGCTGACAGGTGGCCAGGAAGACACCATGACTCTTCGTTCACTCTGTGGAGGTGACGAAACGTTCACCCCCCAAGGATGTGGTTTGTCTTCTGGGCAAGTCAGGGCCTTGGATTTTCACGTCACCCGCATGACAACTGCGAGTTTCAGGGGGTGAAGTCACAGGATGAGGTCCCTGAATTGTGCGAATTGTACATTAAACCCTCCATGTGCCCGGTGCCCTGGTTCTTGATACTCAGAACCTCCAATGCCATTGTCCCTAGAGCTTGAAGACAGATCCATTTTCGTCTTGCCCTTGCTTTCGTAGTGTTTTGTGTACATATCTTTATAAGGCTTCTTGGTGCATGACATTTTCTTTTCACCTTTACCTGGACAACCCAGGAAGGGATAGAGTGGGTGCGAGCGCGTTTGTGACCACTGTCCGCAAGTTCGTGCATCCAAATGGGCGGGGTTATTATGTCAATTAAGGGTTTATTCATCAAGAGTCCACAATTCAATGCACATTTCAGCAAGCGCCCAAGCTGCCCAATCACAGCGAACATAATCTGCAAGATCGTGAACCTGTGGAAGTGGCACAAAAGTGGCGCAAAATGCTTAAAGGAGCCTGGAGAGAAAAGGATAAACATCCGTTGCTTTCCAAGCACTTCAGGGATGGCACAAACCTATCTAATTATATACATATATGTGTACATACACATGTGTGAAAACATGATCTATCAATATGTTTTTAAAACATATGATATCACATGCCTCATACATTACACATACAAGCTATACAGTGGTCCCAGAACACATCGAGCCTGGGACATTCCCGAACGACTAGCTTCAAAGTCATTTCGTTTTATCACTGCCACTTTCCCCGTTTTTGGATCCTGTTTGGATCATCAGTTTGGCACAAAGCCCCTGCTCTCAAGCGGCTTACGGTTTCGACACCTTCCGGAATGGCTTTTTGAGGAACGCAGGTTCGGCCTCCAACACCATTGAGCACTCCAAGGCCATTCATTCCAAAGAGCACCCACTATCGATTCAGCAGGTTTGGCTCCAACTTCCACTGCAGAAGTAGGGTCTTCTCCGGCAGGTTGCTCCATGTGCCGTAAGTCCAAAGAATGCGGTTGCGCTGGACTGGCCAAACCGTGTGAAACGTCAAGAAGTCAATCAAAATCAAATATATTTCTTCTTTACGTTCTGACGTTCACGGTTAAGCCTTTTGAACTCCAGATTCCATCCAATTTCTTCCCTTGACTTGGTAGCTCTGAAAGCGCAATTGGCCTCTTAACTGTGATGGCCACTTCAGGACCATCTTGAACGTCGAGAACACCCATCGACAGCAAGACCTGTTCCAGCACCAAACAGCAAGTCTTGAGTCTGTTGGTGTATAGAATCCCCCGTATAGGTGAGTGGTTACAGTGTGTTGACGATCACAAACCAAACTAGCCGTGATATGTTCTTTCCATACCCCACAAGTCCAGTCTGACCCAGTAAAACCAGGTCTTTTACCTCCTTCAGTAGTGTTTTTTTGTATGACCAACTTCAGTAAAATGAGGTCATTGACTTGTAGGGATATATAGCTGGTCTGTCGGAGACCGTGTTTGAAGACCAAACCTTGCAACTCGTCTGCATGCGAAGAGCTACGCGTTACCCGCGAGCACCGCGGCATCTCGAGCCACGGTGCTGCATCATAGGCGAGCACAGCGGACCTCCAGAAAGGGTCCCCTCAAACATGCTGCAGTGGGTTCAGAGTAGATGGCACAATCCCCAAGGTCGGTGGTTTATATGGACCCACATCCAAAAAACATCTAGAGGTGCATGTAGGGGTGCCATCTACTCTGAAACCACTGCATTCGCGTAAGATCCACAAACTGGCATCAAAGGACACTTGGACATGTTGAGGATGTACGGTTTGGACCTTTCCCGCACTGGGTATGATGCTTGGACACGGTAGACTTAGTCAGATACCCGAGTTTAAGCATATATTTGCATATATATCTATAATATTGCAATGTGTCTTGGACATGTCCTACATTAAACCTTTTGCACCGAACCCCCTAGTCCTCCGAGCATCACTTCCACTGCTGGGGTTTGTGTGGGATCATCCCAAACGACTGAATCTCCCCATCAAACCTGAAATCTCTTGAACAACCCGGACTTGCTTGACGCCGCCGTCCATGTCTGTTCGCGATGGAAAGCATGTGTTGGTCTGCAGTTGAACCCCCGAACAGCTCCCAGCTAAGCTGTTGGAGTGACCTCTGAGCACGCAGCTTGACACACAAAAGCTGTTCTTCGGCATCCCATCCCCCAATCACTCCCAAATCACTGTCATGGTGGCGTCATATATGCAGCGTCCTTGGCACTCAAAGCCTCGGACGCACAAACCGGAACAAACAGCGAGGGACTTTGGAGCGTCACCTGGAATACTGCACTTGGTGAGGGGTGGCCAATGAGCAAGAAATGAAGCCCGAACGACAAATAAAGCCCCCATGCGTCCACAAACAAACTTAAACAACAAAAACTCAGACTAATTCAAAGAAACACGCCTCGCCGACTACTTCGCTGGTCCTTCGAGGAGAGGCCAAGCAATCTGTGTTCAGTACTGACTGGCAGGCCCCCATGCGTGATGCCCTGCCTCCGTCTTTAGACGCAGTTAGACGGTCAAATCAGTCAACCCCTTCAGTGGCATGTCCAAATCATCTGTCAAAATATGCCAAAACTACTCCATTTGCATGGCCTGTCTCCCGCTAGGATTGGATCTTTGAAGAGCGGACTGTGGACCTGTAGTCCTAGGAAAAGAAACGTTTCCTCACGGAAGGAAGAAAGGCCTCGACTTGGAACATTGACACATATTCGCAAACATGACACACACCAAATTGGTGAGTTGCAATGACCCATATTCCTGCACAAAAACGTCTGCTTTAATGTGTTGTTACGGCTTTAATGTGTTGTTACGTGGTGTTACTGCACATATATGCATCATTACAATTCCCTCACTCACTCACTCACTCACTCACTCACTCACTCACTCACTCACACTCTCCCTCTCAATCACGAACGCGGGGATGTGTTTGAAGGTGGCTTGAGCCACGTGGATGCCGAATGATGTCGTGCTCATTCTCCTCAAAGAGTGGACCCCGCCCAAGTCCCGTCTTGGAGACTCGCACCTCCAGCTCTTTGGCTTGTTCATCCAAGGCGTTTAAAGCCTCCGGACTGCACTGGACGGAAAAAAAACACATAAAGAAACGTGGGAAGGGCCCAAGGAATGCTTAGCGCGAAACAAGTGACCTGCTATGAATAGGCTGACTGCTCGTAGGTCCGGTATGCTGACCAGGGTGTCTATGCGCTGTGGCGGAACACATGTGTTGCTGAATGTCAAAGCTGTTCAGGGACGGAGTCGACTCTGGGTGGCTGGGTGGCACCCATCGTCGGGAGCCTTTGTGGAATGAAGACCTGCTCCAAATCTACAAGTACACACAGCCATAGATATTATAGATAAATAGATGGATCGATACCTATAGAGAAGCAACACAATTAATAACAATTTGTAGGCTCCTGGATGAAACATCGCTTGCTCAAGGGAAGAGATTGAAACATATGGAACATATTGTCGCTTCTCGGGAAACATTGTCCTTTGATAAAACCATGTGATGTGTAGTAAAACCACTGAAAAGCAGCCACAACCACCACCAGGTCTTGCTTCCAGGTGTGATGTGGGATCTCAATGGATTCACAAATCACCCAATGTCGACCATTTTTCCGATTCTTCCATCTGTGTTGGTAATGTAATAACTGATTATAATGTTAACCTCCCAGTAATAAACCATGCACCAATAGTAAGCTCTAGATTGGCCTGACATAAATTTGCAATACTACTTTTAATTGCGCCAACATCCAAACCCCAAAATTGATAAAAACAAATCATTCATCAATTGTAAACCACTACAATATTAATAATCTTCTGTTTGGCCTGCCAGAAGTTTCCAATACTACCTTTATATAATTGCGCCAACAGAATGCTTTCAGAATGCTCTCCTTTCATTGTCACATAAATCACAGCCAAAAGACAACCAGTGAAATGAATCTCAGGCTGCTCTTCTTTCTTTTCTTTTTTTTGTGGAACCTTTATGATTTCCCAAAAAAAAAGTTGGCTAGCCAAAAGCTTTATATAGATTCCCTTATTTCAAACATTTTCAAACCATTTAAAAGCCCTATCAAAGAAATAGAAAGAATATGTTCAAAGGGTACCCCTTTAGACTCCCACCCCGCAATGATAAACAAACCTACAATAATCAACCCCACTCCAGCCCTGCTGGCTTATCCTTGTGCAAAATGAAAGCAATGTCAGCAGAATGCAAGCACTACTAGTACTATCCCCTCTGCCAAATGGCCTGGAGGTTTTCTATTGCGGTTCAGAATTTGGCTACCCCGGAGGAAAAAAACAAACATCTTTTTCATAAGGGGGGTTTACTATTGAGAGGTTAACATTATAGTCTTATACTCATTAGACTTAGACGTTAAGGGGAATTTGGATGGTGACTTGACCGAAACCATAGAACACCGTATTATCCCGTACAGAGCCTGTACTAACAAATTCTTAGGCTCACAGCAACATGTTGAAGGATCACTTTTGATTCCTGTGAAAAGCGTTCTTGGTGAGGTCGACATTTGGTGACTTGGTAACTTGTGCCCGAAATTTAGGTGCGTGCTGTCAGCACCAAAGCACACACATGTCGGAAAGCATTGTCATGCATTGTCTTTGCAGGAGAAAAATCATTCCGTTTTTCATACATTACGCTTTCCTGGTATCTTGTGTTGAATTCCCTATAATTATATAGTATACAATCCCCCCCACCTACGTGGCGCAGAGTCATTTTCGAGCTCCCAAAGGTAGCTGGTGAAACTAAACCCAGATCCTTTCCACCGGCCCCTGGGATATTCTCTCTACATGACGGGTGGAGCTCGGACCTTCCCGCAAGCTGCCCGGTTTATGCCGGCCCCGAACTCGGCCTCCCGAAAGGCCTGCAGCTTCAGAAGCTGGGCCTGCCGGAGGGCTGGCCCCGCTTGACCTTTTTGGAACAACGCGGTAAACAAACATGTCAAATCCGCGAAGTATTTACTTGATGTAGTTTGCACCGATTCAGATTTGGATGCTTTTTGGACAACTCATGGGTTTGGGGGGTGTAAACCTCTCTCTCTATGATATATATATATATACATTTCTTTCCAAGGTTGACTCTCGTAGCTACGGTGGTCCGCACACAATCCCTTTTCCTCAGTCATCTTGCCAGTATGGTCTTCAACCTGCCATGTCCAGCAGGATAATTGCGTTGGGTTACCTGCATCAGCAGGCCTGACACAATCAGACCCTTGTGGTATCCTTCCGGTCACTCCGGAAACCACTCCC